AGGGAGGTGGGAGGGGGGACCGGGATGGGGAATACATGTAAATCCATGGCTAATTCATTTCAATGTATGACAAAAACCACTGCAATGATGTAAAGTAATTAGCCTCCAACTAATAAAAATAAATGGGAAAAAAAATAAAATAAACATTTCTCAAAGTCAGAAAAAATAATGGAACATACAGCATATTCAGACATTAAAAATAGCTGACAAAGTCTTAATATTCTAAGTGCTCTTTATACACCATTTCCTTGTAGACACTAGGCTTTTTGCTACTGTAACCCAATAACTTTCAACACACAAACAAAAACAAAGGCACACACATGAACCCCCCAACATACACACACACACATGTATGACCATTCACCCATATTTGAATGATACTGACTGGCTGCTAGACCAACTAAACCAAATTCTCCCAATACTCACACCTGTTTTCGCCCAGGTTATTTGTTGACCATCTGAATCGTCAGGTGGAACTGACTGCATTTCCCCCTCTTCAGTCATTATCTCTGCAGGATGTTTTCCTGTTCTAACATTTCTACTTGGGATGGATGTGGCTATAAACACATATGCTTTTTAATGGTGCTTTCTAAACCTCAGCTTGCCTGCACATATTTCCAGCTTTCTTTTATAGATATAAATATAATCTATATATATCAATATACAGTGGAGGAGCACTCCCTCGATCTGTGACTCAAGCACTGCTGTTTTATTATTGCAGTCTCCTTTCTTAGTTCTTGTCTATAAAAACATGTCCAGCTCTTATTGGTCCATATCCTCAAATTTGTTACCTAAAAGTGTGGACTTAATCATTCTTTGACTTACATCATGTGTCCAGAGATTCTCCCTCATCCCAAGTACTTAATATGTCGATGGATCAAAAAACAAAGATACCTCACTGAGATTCAGCCCAAAATCAACCAGGGAAATACCGGTATTCCTTGTTTCCAGCATAGATCTCACACAGAAAAACATCAACTTGATTGCAGTTTCTGTGTGCATTAAAAACTGAACGCAGGAGCATATTACACTTGAGAAACTGCATGTATGTTTACAAAATAAAATTTTATACATGGTAATGAAAACACTTTGTTCTGTAAGATACAAATACCATATACAAAATAAATACATGGTAACTGATTTAAACCTGTCAGGCTTAAATCACTGAGTATAATTCATGTTTCTCTGCTTTTAAGGTCACCATTGCTGATTCTAGACTTCAGTTTTTCAGCTAGTAAAGCAACTTATAAAATGCATGAAAACCTGAACTTTGTAAGAATCATTTTGCCACTGTTTTGTGAAAGCTTAATTCTCTTTCTTTTTTTTACCCTTAATTTTACAAATTTGTTAATGAAGAGAAAGTATCTGTTGATTTCCACTGTGTTAATTTCTTAAACGTGGAGGCCTGTATCCTTCCCCCTTTAGGGAAAGGTTCATTCCTTGAAAGTAGATCTTCACAACCAGTTTTGAATCCTCACTTCTAGCAAGTTCTCTTCTAAATTGCTCTCTTGTCTCAAACACATCTCCAGCTGTTCCAGCTACTAATGATGTCCAATGTGGAATTTGTCCAAGTGGGTCTCATCCCAAACATCCTGGACCCTCTATATTGAAGATGCTGCAGAGACATCTCAGGGAAGACAGCAGGGTGTGGGCTTTCCTGAAACTGCCCAGCATCCACTGGATCCCAGACATCAGTCAGGCCTGTTTTCCAGAAATTACAGATGCAAAGCACTTTTTTTTTTTTTTTTTGAGAAACATTAAGATGTGCCTCTTGTCCCTACTACGACGTGTGACACCTCACTACTCAGGCAAAATTTGGGACTGTTTTTGTGTAGACTTGTGGACTGTGTTGGTGTTGCACCTGCCTGTATTTACTGCATTTCTGTGTATTAGAGGATTTCAGGAGCATCTTGATCTCTGCAGAAGGGGGCATGGCAGATGGGGAGGATTGAGTTGTGTCCATGTTCCTAATCTCACACTTGAGCCAACTGCCTCTCCCTGACAGTGCCCCGTGATCCCCCACAGAAGCTCATGGTCACCCTAGCTGCAACCTTGTCTTCCTTCATCCTTTCCGCATTTGACCACATGTGTCTTGAGCTGCTGAAGTCCTGAGCCTGGACAGGACCTGTGCACAGCTGGCTGGCGGCCTAGTTCAGGCAGCAGCTCAGTCACCCCTAGTTCTGCTTTAACAACCCAGCTTCTTGGTTCTCCAATAATTTGGAACCTACAAGTTAATAACATCTGACCATTAAACAGGATATGACTACAGAGGTTTTAGGGCAAGGTGACAGTACTAAACTAACTGGGAGAAGTTTTTCACATTAAATAGAATTTAAAATTAAAACTTAAAAAAGAAAAGTATACATATATATGCATACCAACCAGCCAAATGGGTGGGTCATTTGTGAGGTATGTATGACTCTTTAAGTCTCAGACTATGAATTTCTGCCATCATTTCTTAAATTTGAATTTATGTGACCACTAAACTCTCTTGCTGTCTGTTCATTTTTTCCTGGCTAATGTTATAACTTTCCCATATATTATTTAATAAAAGTTCTTAGCCATAGGTTTTGGGAGAAAGATTCTTTGATTCCATTTCTTTCTTTCATTTTTATTGAATGTCTCTCCTTTGTTATAACTAGCCATTTCAGTTCAGTTCAGTCACTCAGTCAGGTCCTGACCCTTTGTGACCCCATGGACTGCAGCACACCAGGCCTCCCTGTCCATCACCAGCTACTGGAGCTTACTCAAAC